TGATTCTGTGACTGGGGTGATCAGGATGGGTGTGTCAGAGGCAGTGCAGTTGGTGCAGGATAGAGCAGGGTTTAGGGCTGTTGTGCATAGGGTCGCTATGAGTCGCAAACGACTCGACGGCACATAACAACAACAACAACATCACTAATGTTATACACAAGCAAAATCTTGCTGAAGCTTATCCAGAAACAGCTGGAACCAGTTCTTACAGAGAACTGCCAGAAGCACAAGCTGTTTAGAAGAGGCCGTGGCACTAGGGATATCATTTCCAATGTCAGATGGACTCTCCAGAGTGCTAAGGAGCCATGATGTCAGCCTACAAACTAAGGTGCACCCGGTCCAAGCCCTGGTCTTCTCAGTTAACTTGCTGTGCATCTGAGATCTGTACAGTGACTAAGAATGATAGAAGAAGAATTAATACCTTTGAGTTGTGTTAGAGAAGAATATTGAACATACGTGGAGGGTCAAGGTAGAAGATGCAGACCCTGGATGAGATAAATTGACACAGTGGAGGCAGATGTGTTAGAGACAATGAGATTGGCTCAGGATAAGGCAAGGTTCAGAGCTATTGTTCAAATAGTTGCTGTGACTTGTAGACGTCACGGCACATAACAGTACAGCTTTGCTTTCTACCTCCCTTGTGCTATTATTGACAAGTAGAATTCTGTTTTATTTTTCTGTATATGATATGTATTATTGCATAGAATTGCCTTTTTTATTAGTTAGCTAAGAGAAGACAAAAGAATCAGTAAACATTTAAACTAATTTTTGTTTACACCCCTTTACTGGTGCTTCCGCCTCCTCTTCCTCTGCTCATGTGAATTTGAGTTATGAACTGGGGACACTAACCTGCAGCCTGAACACTTTTTTAAAAAAAAATTAGTTATTTTAAGGTAGGGCTATCTACTAGCAACAGACTATCAGTTTTTGTTTATCTGGCAATGTCTGTCTTGCCTTCCTTCTGTCAGATGTGAGGTTCTTAGTCTGCACTTGTAGGTTTGGATGTGGGCCAGTTCCTTCCATAAGATTTATAGCCTCCAAAAACCTGCTGTGGGAGTGAAGTGAGTATTTTCAGTATGTTGTCCTATTGTGTTCTGGTCTCCCATGTTTCTGCTAAGAAATCACCTGTGACCACTGGTTTCCTCGTTGAGTAATGAGTCTTTTCTCATTGCTTTGAAGTTTTTTCTGCTTAGCTTTGTGAATATTTTACCACTGAAATGTGGGTCTCATTGCATTTAACTTCTTTGAAGTTTGTTGATTTCCTTGATAAGTAAGTCACTCTTTCTCAATAAGTTTTACAGTTTTTAAACCATTATTTCTTGCAAATATTTTTTCCCTGCCTCTTTCTGTCCTCAAGTTCTGGTGCTCCACTTATACACATGTTGGTGGACTCAGCGGTGGCCCATAGCTCTTGTTTTCTTTTTTCCCTGTCATTCTTTTTTTCCCCTGTGTTCACCAGCCTGCCTACATTCTTCAGCTGCACATTATTTGATGAGTCATTGTCAACATGCCTTTCTTAACTCCTTTAGTTACATTTTCACTTATATTTGGGGGGAAAAATCCATACTGTTTTATCTGTTTCTAAGTATCTGTTCAATTTGGCATCTGGTCGCAAAGGCCAGATCTCTGTTATATTGTTTTGGGTTTTGTTGTCTTTTACCATTTTCTTTGCATATCTTACTGGAAACTGGCTAGCAACTTTAGATCCACAACTCTGGGCTCATTTTACTGAGATCCAAAATCAATACTCATTGTAGCAGCAGTCAGGAAATCAAAAGGCATGTGACATTGGAAAAATCTGCTACCAGGGACCTCTCCAGATTGCTAAACAACAACAGTGTCAGTGTAAAAACTGTGGTGCATCTGGTCCAGACATGATGGTATTTTCACTTGGCTCAGTATGCTTCTGGAAGCTGGATATTGAATAAGGATGATAGAAGAATCAATGACTTTGAGTAGTTGGTGTTGGAGAAGAGTACTTTCATGTTCTTGGGCAGTCCATGAGATAAATACCTGTCTTGGCTGAAGTGCAGCCAGGGTGCTTCTTGAAGCAAGAATGGTGACATTTTCTCATGTATGGGGGAAGGAGGGAGGGTGGCAAGGACAGTCCTTGGAATAAAAGACAACTGTCTAGCAAAAGAGGAGGGTCAGAAAAGGAGAAGACTTCCAGTGAGGTAGATTGACACAGCAGCTATAACAGGGAGCTGGAATATGGAGGAAGATCATGAAGACAGAGTAGGATAAGCAAGGTTCAGGTGTTCAGATCTGCTGTTCATCAGGTGGCTGTGAGTTAAGTCAGCTGGATGGCACTTGGCAGCTACACTGTAGCAACTCCAGGTGCTTGCCCTAGAACTTGTTGATGATGATTTTAGTGCATTCCACCCCCCCAACTCAGAGTTGGTTTCTGATCTTGTTCATGGAAGCTGTTGTGCAGCAGTGCTGGTGGGGACCGACACTCAGCTTTAACCTCACTGACTGCACTGACAACTCTTTTTAAGTGTTAATTTTAGAATGTCACTTTGAGGACTGAGGGGCTCTTGAGCCAATCCATGGCCTTTTAAATCACTTTGTATACATGCAAAAGCTAAACAATGAATATTGTGAGATGAAGTTTCACCGTCTTGCCTCTAAGGAGCACCTTGGTTGTACTTTGTCTAAGACATATTTGTTCTTTTTAAAAAAAAAAAATAATAAATTTCTTTTTTTGGTTTGCTTACAAAGTTTGTATACATTGTGTTCTGCACTATTTTCATTCACATTGTATTTCATACAGTCATTCCCATTCATTATGTTTTATAAAATTAATCTCACTAAACTACGTCCACCATTACCGTGTCTTTCCTGATCCCCACCAAATCTTTACTGTTTCCTTTACCTATCCCTCCCTCCATCCACCAAGATAGCTTTGTTCTTTTGACAATCCATGGGATATTCAGTACTCTTCTCCAACACCACAACTCAGTTCTTCTATCATCCTTTTCATTGTCCAGCTTTCGGATGCATAGCAAGTAATTGAAAGACCATGAGTTGGATCAGGTGCACCCTAGTCTTTAAACCGACACTGTTGCTCCTTAGAACTTTAGCGAGGCCCTTAACAGCAGATTTTTCCAATGCATCTCATTTTTTTGGTATCTTGACTACTATTACCAAGGGTGGTGGTACTTGTGGATGTAAGATGAAATCATTGAGAATTTCAATCCTTTCTCCATCTATCATGATGTTGCCTAGTGGTCTAGTGATGAGGAATTTTGTTTCCTTGGTGTGGAGATGTAATACATATTGAAGGCTCTTGTCCTTGATCTTCTGCAGCAAGCGGGTCAGGCCTTCTTCACTTTCAGCATGTTTGTAGTGCCTTGTCAGTCCCAAGGTCTGCAGGTCAGACATGCAGAGTGGGGCCTCAAGGAGCTTATGAATCCACGTTCTTGGCAAACAGGGTCTCAGGCTGCTGACTTTGGAAGCTGCCACCTTCAGAGGCTGATGAGTCCAGAGGTGATCCTGAGAGAGCAGATCCACAAACAGCTAGTTGTGGGAACTGATGATTTCAAAGTCAACAAGTATGACAGGCCCCCGAGTCAAGACTAGAGGCCAAGAGCCAGGAAGCTGGAGAACGCAGAATCGGACAAAAAGTTCTCTACCAGAATTCAGACATATTCAATGCAGGCCACATCCCTGGACTCTTAGAAGACTTCCATTTAATTAGATAAGTTAGTGGCATAATTTCTAGGGAGTTGTTCCTTTCCAGCAGTTTTATTACACCAGTGGCACCAAGTGAGAAAGATGGGCAATCTTTCCTCCCTGATGCTTGTGCAGTTTACAGCCTCAAGAACCCAATGGAGGGGTCAGCTATGTTGTGTACCATTGAGTCGGAACCAATCCATAGCTGACCCTCCAGCAGGGTTTCAGAGGCAATTATATCTTTACAGAACAGCGTCTAATCCTACCTCAATAACACCATAAAGCTTAAGATTTGCAATGGATTCTCAAGTCACATGATGATGCTGTGAATTGAAAATCAGCTCAGTAGCACTGAAGGACAATCCACAGTCATGGTTCCTAAAAATGTATGCATTAAAGGGGAGAAATGACCCCCACGCTTTAAAAATGATAGGAAGAATGGATCCTGTATCTTCGATCCATAGAGAGCTTTGTTTGAATTTGCACATTTAGGACATAGATCTTTCTGTAGAGTTAATACAAATTGGGGGTGGGCAGACCATTGTCTCTAAGATAGGGGCACCATCTTGGACTGCTTATGAGCTGTTTTGGTTAGGATGTTCTCGATGTTTTCTGTTTCTTTCCCAAGAACCTTTTCTGATGAAGCTTCTGGTCTGGTCTAGCTCACAGATGGAGTGCGGTCTTCAGCCCGCCTGAGAAGCCGAGGGTGCCCAGAGGCCGACTTGGCCTCCACGCAGGAAGTGGACATCCCCAAGTCGACCAAGACTGCTTGTCTGGTGAGGCCCCATCGCTGCCAAATAAGTGTTCTGGCTCAAAGATAATGTGCTAGCCCGGTGATAGATTGAATATTGCTTATATGCCTGGGGCCCAGGAGAGAGTGTTCATAGAGGAAATTGCCCTAATTTAACTACACTCTTATGCTTCCATGGAAGTATGCTCTCCTGTCCAGGGGCTAGTTTGCCAGCACCTGGTATCCAAGTGTGTGCAGGCGTGCGTACATGTCTCCGACCCAGTTTCTGACATGGGCATCACTCTTTCTGATGCATTCCTCCAAGTGATGCAGATAACCTGTTACTACTCTGCTGTGTCATCCATAGATGCTTAAAGAAGGATGTAATGTGTGTCCCAAAAAATGACGCTTCTGTGGTCTAAGATTCTAAGGCGTTTTAGTCCCTAAGGTGACACAGTCTGCTTGTTGGCTAGATCTGCTTAGTTTAGCCTAAGGCCCTAGAGTCCAGATGGGGTATGGCTGTGTACCAGCAAATCACCTATTGCCTGCCAGGCCCAGTTCAGTGAATAAGGCAGATTTCTGCCATCAGGAAAACTGCCATTCTGATGAGAATGAATGAGAACTGTGTTGTGTAAATATATGAGGCCATGCTTCTGAATTTGCCTTAGAAGCTGTTCCATGTCTAGGAAAAACTGGTACGTAGACGCTTTCCCCGGTTGGATTCTCTGGTGGCTGAGCAGTGCAGCAGCATTTACACTGTTTACCTGAGAAAGGAAGCATTCACCTCTCGGACAGAGGCACTTTTTGTCTTGCTGTCCTTCTCGTCACCCTGGCTATGTCAGCTTTTCCCTTAACCTCTTTGTTTCTTGACAGGCTGTGTCACACAAAGCCACCAACAGGCGAACGACCAAGAAGTTCAAGTATGACAAAGATAATCTTGTGAAATCAGAATTTCAGCAGCTCATCTCCACCAGTGCTGTTGCTTCCTTGCCGAAAATAGCGCCCAACACCCATTGTGCAGAAGAGCCTCAAGAGCTTGGCTACCACCCCGTGGTTCCCCAAGGCAGCAAGGGCAGCACTTCTGCCACGCAGGAGGGTGAGGGATCCCTTGATTCCTGTGCCATCCGAAAGGACGGAGGCCCACCACAGACTGACGATAGCCTGTCCCCGCCAGAGCACAATGCTGCTCCTGAGGCAGAAGAGTCCAACAGCAACTCCACGCCATGGGATGAGCCAGCCCTGGAGGCCGAGGAGACGCAGAAGCCGCCACTGCAGATGGACAACAGTGTCTTCCAAGATGATGACAGCAACCAGCCCATGCCCGTGAGCCGGTTCTTCGGGAACGTGGAGCTCATGCAGGTAAGATCTGCAGCACCCAGCCTTTACCAACAAGCTTGGGTTTCATACTATGTACCACGAGGGAGCTCTGGTGGCCTAGTGATAAATGGCTGCACTGCAATCCCAAAGGAATTCCTTTCCAATCCATCAGCTGCTCCATGGGAGAAAGATGGGCAGTCTCCTCCTGTGTGATTCACTGCCTCTGAAAACCCGCTGGAGGGTCAGCTGTGGGTCCATTCTGACTCAGCAGCACACAAGATGCCCAAATAGAGATAATACCTTGATAAAAGAAAACACAAGAAAGCAGTCATTTCAGTCCCAGAGGAGAAAGCTTTGCTAGTTGGTGACACTCCCACAAGAGTGGCAGCAATCATGGCATGGATGCTAGTGTGTGGCGTCACGTCCCCAGGCGTGTGTGAATGTGTACTTGAGACCTCTCACTGCAGACCTGGGAATCTTATTTCTTCATTTTGTAAATATTTGCCCCATGCTTACTGTTTCTCTCTTGGTTTTGTTTGAGCTTTTAACCCCAAGTTTTCCCTTCTATTTCTCCTATTTGGAAGAGCCTGGTGCAGAAAACTGGTGCCACAGCTCAGTTATTTCTGGGTGTCAAGCAAATTGGACCAAACAAAACACACAGGTTCAGCCTGAGCAGGATTTGACAGCAACTCAACAGTAACAACAAGGCGAGGGCCATTCTGCAGGGCTGGGAGCTGGTCTTGGTGAGCTCCAAGCACTCACCCACAGGTGCGTTGTTATCCGTCACTAAAGTGAATGTTTTCTTCCCTACAAGGACCTTCCACCAGCATCGTCAGCTTGTCCTTCCATGAGCAGACGAGAGTTCAGGAAGATGCATTTCAGAGCCAAAGATGACGACGACGACGACGAAGATGATGCAGAACTGTAAATAATCAATACACAGAGGACTCTCTTTGCTATTTAGTGTCGTTAGCAACTTTACAAATTACAGGATGCATAAAGAATGTAACTCCAGGGGAACTTCAATCTCAATCAGACCTCAAAATTGAAATTAAAGTCCACAAACGGTGCAAACTCTCACTAGCTGCAGAAAGTGTGTCGATAGGACCTCTTAACAGTTGAGGATTACAAAGCTGCTTTTCTATGCTAATGTATTTTTCTACATGAACATGGTTCACGTTATCTGTAGGAGATTGGGGTTAAATGGTAGAAATCTTTGTAAAGAAAAATCTTCACTTAAACACTTAATATACACATTTCTTTTGCATGGTCAAAATTTGATCATTCTTATGAATTCAATGCCTGTTCTTAAAGAACTCAGTTTTGCTGCATATGAAGCTGTTGTTTACCTTGAAATTTTTTCAGAACATGTATAGAGAATAAATATATTTTGAAAATATTATTGAAGAAGTTCTACTTATGTTCCTCAATCTGTATTCCTTTTGCAAATGGTTGAGAGCGAGGTGGATCAAGTAGATTTTGCCCTAAATTTTATACTTGTGAGATGTACAACCTTTTATACTCAGCTAGTCTGAGGTAAGACCTCAAGGACAAATGGCTGTGGGTGTGAAGGTGACACGGATCTTCACTTGTTTAGTAGGGCCTTCTTTTGTGCACCGTGTGAAATCTCAGCTTCTGTTTCTTGCTGATGTTGGCCATCAAAGAGGAGGAACCTTGGGGAGCATTTGACACATTGGTTGCCCTGTTGTTGAAGGCACTCGGGCAGCAAAGCCAATGTTTTCCTCCCTGGTTTTGATGTGCTGCTGGGCACAGCCATCCCACCAGGGTTGACATCAAGGAGGCCTTGTAATGGTAGTGTTTTCACCCCACAGAGTTGACATCCAGGAGCAAAGTCTCTGCTGCAGCAGACTGAAGAGATGTAACATGAGGATGAAGCCACGGGTGGGCCTCCCACTATCCCTGCCGCCAGCACACAGACTGCTGGAGCAGCCAGGAGCCTGGGTCCTGGTGACCGACTCCAAAGAAAAGAAGCATCTCCAAGGCAGAAAGGGCATTTGGGCTTTGCATGCTATGCAGGAGAGTAATTGCTTTCAAGCTATTATACATTCTCAGTTGAGTTGCAGCAGCAGCTGGGTTTAATCCTATTAAAGTGTCCTTACAGAGCACAGGAAATATTTTGCCTTATGGATAAATTGGGAGCAAAGCATAGTTGCAGGGCCCTGTAAGGCACGTTTCAACTCTTGTACCAGTCACAGTCTGCCCTCATCGAAGCGATTTCCCCAGCACGCCACCTCGGCTGCGCATCTGATCATTTTCCCATTAACAATCGTGGCCTTCACCTGCTCTGAATAATTTGGTGATTTAGTGATTGATGGGCTACTCTGGACTTAATAATTTGAAAATGTTGCTTGTAAAATCATTTTATGGTAACCAGGGAAAATAATTTACAACTTCAGATCTCTGCATGAGTGTGACTATCAATCTCAGCACCTCCCATTAGTGGTAATTGAGCTGCCTCAAACTTGAGAATTCTGTCTTTCCTAGAAGCTCGCGGGAGTGAGTGAGCGAGCAGCACTGCCCTAAATCATGACACGCCTGCACAAGAGACCCATTGTTTCGCTCCCACCAAACAGAAGGGCCTGGATCCCTAGGACAGTCTCCGTTACCTGGCAGTTTTGCTTGAGCTGACAGAAGGACAGTGAAGCAGAAATGCCTTCTGTGTGTATCCCCCAAATATGCGTGTTGTAAATCTTAAAATGTGCATGTACCTGTGGTTATATTTGTATTTAGGATTGGGTTTTCTTTGTTAATGTTAAGGAGCCATGTTGATGTTAGGTGCTACAGTGTTGACTAAAACTCAAAGCAACCCTGTGAGCAACAGAGCTGGACTTTGCCCTATCCTGTGCCGTCCTCACTATCTCTGAAACACTGAAGCCTATTGTTAGAGTCACTGGGTCAGTCCATCTTATTGAGGGTCTTCCTCTCCTGCTCAGAGCCTCTATTTTTCCTAGCGTGATGTCTTTTTCTAAGAACAGACCCCTCCTGACAAAATGCCCAAAGTATATGAGGCAAAGTTTGACCATCCTTGCTTCTGTGGAGCACCCTGGTTGAGCTTCCTCCACGACAGACTTGGTTGTTCGTTTGTCAGTCCATGGGATATTCGGTACTCTTCTCCAACACCACAACTCCAAGGCATCAGTTCTTCTGTCACCCTTACTCATCGCAACTTTCACATCCATAGGCAGTAATTGAAAAGGCCATGGTTTGGATCAGGCACACCGTAGAAGCCGCATCACAGCAGATATGAGGAAGACCCTCAATGAGATGAACTGACACAGTGACTGTGATAATGAGTTCCAGCAGCAGCGATTGTGAGGACAGAGCAGGCCCGGGCAGTAGTTTGTTCTGCCGTATGTAGGCTTGCTGTGAGTTCAAACTAACTTGACAACACCTGACATGGCATGAATATTGATAGATTATTGGAATAAACAGAGGAGTCAGGATTTAGCAAGTGGAATGGTGACAAAGAATTCATAGCTCTTGTACACTTACTTCATTCCAGATGTGTCAACAACTTTCTTTTTAGCTAATTTTACACTTAAAAAAAAAGTTACCAAAACAAGAAGACAAGGCATTTTGATATTCCTCACGGCACTTCTAGTGTTACATCTAAGATTTTCCAGAAACTATGTATGTATTCTTGTATGATTTTGTACTTGCAGTTATTTTTTTCCTTGCAAATAAATACCTTTTGTAAAAGTCATAAACGACAACTTTACACATGGCTCTCACCTGATGGAAGAAAATTTAATAAGTCCACAAGAACCAAGATATGATGTATTCCATCTGAATTTCAAGATCATCTTAAGAATAGGTTTAAAAAAAAAAATAAAATAGGTTTGAGGCATTGAACACCAGTGATCCAAGACTTGGATGACTTGTGAGATGAAATAAAGGATATCATGAGGAAATATGGATATCAAGGATATCCATGAAGAAAGCAAAAGACAAAAAAAAAAAAAAAAGACAAAGGCAGGAGAAAGGAAAACCTGAAATGGATGTCAGAGGAGACTCTAAAAATTGCACTAGAGCATCAAGAAGCCAAAACAAAGGGGACTTGATGCTGGGAAGGGTGCAGTGTCCATGAAAGAGAGGAAGACCTTCGACCAAATGGATTGGCACAGTGACTACCACAGTGGGCACTAGTGTGTCGGGAAGTGTGAGGATGGCACAGGATAGAACAGGGTTCAGTTCTGTTGTTCATAGGGTCACCATGTGTCATATTGATGGCACCTAACCACAACAACATTCATGTATTATCTATTTTGAAAGCCAATCGTCTGAAATATAAAAACAGCTTAGGTAGGGCAGAGAAGAAAGCAGAAGAAAAATAAAAAGCAGATAGAAAGATAAATGCCAAGCCACATGAAGATGACCAGGAAGCCAAGGAACAGAAGCTGAACAGATAAGGACCTTCCCAGGAGCAAACAGAAAGAAAGCCTTGCACTAAAGCTGGCCCTCTGAATTCAGACTTCTAGCCCCCAAACTCTGAAAAAAGAAATGCTAAAGACACACACTTGTTATTACTTCCTGTATGACAGCACTAAATAACTAAGATGCCTTCATAGACTTTGGAAAAGGTGTCCTTTGGAGGCACCAGAATTTTCCAGTTTACCTCCGTTTCTAATTTACAGCACTGTATGTAAAATGAGGCAAGGTTGGTTAGATCCCCAGGTGTCAACTGGCCTCACCAAGTTGAAGGTGTGTCTTTTGTGGCAATTTTTGAAGATTTGAAGATTTCATGAAGTACAGGAAACTGAAATCTAGGTGTTGAACGGGACTGAGAAGGCAGGTTTGTTAATGAAGGTTAAGGTCAAAGGAGGGAGATGTTACAAGGAAACATAAGGTGTCCACAACCAAGAAACCAGGAAAATCAATGGTGCCCGGCCACCACTGCTGGCCACTTTAAAAGGGACCACAGTAGAGTAGAGGATCTTAACATAAAATGGGAGGAAATGGGCAAAATAAAAAACTTTTTTTTTTTAAATAAAAGTTTACAGACTTTGGATTTCCATTCATTCCTTGTTGCACTTTTCTCCCTGTCCAGCCCTCCCCTCCAATTCGCCCTTCTCTTTGAAAAGTAAATAATAATAATTCTTTGTTACTCAATCCCTCCCCCCAAGTCCACTCCACTATGCTACCTTCATTCTGAACTCACGTCATAACAATAATATCTAACCATATGTCCCTTGTAAACAGTTCTTTCCCTCATCTTTTAAAAGAGGCTAGACTTAATGGTTCATTAAAGCCTCTTAGGGCCGTAGCGCTTGGCCATCCTTTGAGCCTGGAACAACTTACTTCCAAAGCTAAGTTTTTCAGTCAAACAGTAGATTAGCCTGTACAATACACAACAGGAAGGCACTCACTCCTTATAATAACCAAGCATGTAAAGCAAAAGAGCAGAATTTGCCCAGAAGGAGAAAGGGGTAAGAAACAATTGATAAAAATGAGAATGACAAGGAGCAAATGGAAAGAAGGTGATTTTAATTAATGTTATGTGCTGTTGAGTTGCCTGCGACCCATAGCAACCCTCTGTACAGCAGCTCTGAACGCTGCCCTTTCCTGAGCCAGTCTCACTAATTCCACACATCTAACCCTATTTCCCCAGTAACTGTATCAATCCATCTCATCCTGGGTCTTCCTTTCCTGCACTGTCCCTCCACCATTGGGAGCATGATGTCCTTCTCCAATGGCTGGTCTCTCCTGGCCACATGCCCAGAGTATGTGAGATGGAGTTTCAAAGGCCTAGCCTCCAAGGAGAAACTTGGTTTTACCCTCTCCAAGGGAGACCTATTTGTTTTCTTGGTGGTCCATGGTATGTATGTTCCCAACTCTTCTCCAGCACCACAACTCGAAGGCATCAATTCTTCTGTCATCCTTAATTAATATTCTAAAAATATTTTTAAT